TACTGTTATTATATGTACGACGACGACGACTATTACTACTACCACGACTACTAGAAATACTATTGCTGCTAATGCAACTAGCACGACTACTACTCTTACTCGTACTAGTACTACTGCCACTACTACTACTACTACTACTACTACTACTACTACTACTACTACCACTACTACCACTATTACTACGACTACTACTACTACTATTACCTCTACTACTACCACTACTACTACTACTACTACCACTACTACTACTTCTACTACTACTACTACTATTACTACTACTACTACTACGACTACTTCGACGACGACTACGACTACTAATACTACTGGCACTACTCGTACCACTTTTATCTTTATTACTATTAAGCTTCAGCCTACGACCACAGCTATTGCGATTCGTTTTTACTACCCTGTGACGACTACTACTACTTCTGCTACTCCTACGACTGCTCTCACTATTATGACTACTACTACTACGGCTACTATTGCTCCTACTACTATTACTATTACTACTACTACGACTGCTACTACGACTACTACTACTACTACTACTACTACTCCTACTACTACTACTTCTTCTACTACTACTACTACTACTACTACTCCTACCACGACTTTTGCGACGACGACTACGACGACTACTACTACCACTACGACTACTACTACTACTGCTACTCCTACTACTATTAATACTAGTACTACTACTACTACTACTACTACTACTACTACTACTACTACTACTACTAATATTGCGACTACGATTGAAACGAATAGCACTACTACTACGACGACTAGTATTATTACTATGACTGCTGCTACTACTACGACTATTACTATCACGATACTAGCAGTATTTATACTACTACTACTACTACTACGACTACGTGTACTACTAGTACTATTACGACTACGACTACAATTATTGTTACTACCTTTCCGATTACTACTACTACGACTACGACTACGACTACGACTACGACTACTACTACTACTACTACTATTACTACTACTACTACTACTACTACTACTACTACTACTACTACTACTACGACTACTACGACTACGACTACTACGACGACTATTACTACTACTTCTTCTTCTTCTACTACTACTACGATTACTACTACTACTACTACTACTACTACTACTACTACTACTACTACTACTAACTACTGACTACTACTAACTACTACTACTACTAACTGCTACTACTACTACTACTACTACTACCACTACTACTACTACTACTACTACTACTACCACTACTACTACTACCACTACTACTACTACTACTACTACTGCTGCCGCTGCTGCTGCTGCTGCTACTACTACTACTGCTGCTTCTACTGCTACTACTACTACTACTACTACTACTACTACTACTACTACTACTACTACTACTACTACTACTACTACTACTACTACTACTACTACTACTACTACTCTACTACTACCCACGACTATCACGGCGACGACTTCTACTGCTGCTGCTACTACTCCTATTCATGCTGCTATCGTTCCCGCTCTCACGATCACAAGTTCCAGTATTAGCACGCGGAGAATCTCTGGCACCACTAGCGCACCCGTAGGACATGTCATATTCTGTTTTAGCTACACTGATCAGACACTGCTTCCCTCCGCTTGCTTCTAACTTCACCTCCTACTTCCCTTTCCCTCCGCGCCAGTACCTCCCCTCCTTCCGGCCCGAGCCCCGCGCCTCCCGGCCACCCCTGAGGGATGGGCGGTGCGCGGGGCGATGTTGGGCAGGGGCGGGGACATGCTCAACGGCTTCCGGCACTCGCTAAGGGTTTCCAGCAGCAGCACGCCTGTCAGCACCACAGGCTGGTGTGCCCCCAGAGGGACGGAGAGAGAGAGAGAGAGAGAGAGCGGGGGAAGAGAGAGAGGGGGGGGAGAGAAAGAGAGAGAGAAGGTGGGAGGGAGGGAGAGAGGAAGGGGAGGAGGAATAGAAGGGGCTGGAAGATTAGGAACAAGAGCCGGAGGAGGGAAGGAGCAAGATACGTTGATCGAGGCGTCTTTCGGACGCGTTTCTCCCCTTAATGGGCTTGTGGGAGGCTTCTCGTCGGCTCGGCTGGGTTCCTATCGAAATCTTTAGCCGCGGCGCCCTACAGGAGAGGTTCAGGGAGCGAAGTTTGAGGAAGAGTAAAGGAGGGGAAGGAGGATGGGGGAGGGAGGAGGACAAGGAGGACGGGGAAAAAAGGGAGATGAGGAGGAGATGGAGGAGGAGGAGGAGGTGAAAGAGGAAGGGAGGGAGGGAGGAGGAGGAGGAAAGGAGAGGGAGAGGAGGAGGAGGAGGAGGAGGAGGAGGAGGTCGGACCGGGCTAGGACGAGGATGAGCCGTTCCAGAGCGGTCTGGAATGCTCTAAGAGCGTTCGGGCACGCTTTGAGAGGGCCGCGGCGCCCGAGACATCTTCCAGAGCTGCCGGATCTCAGAGATTCTCGATCCACTCCGACCCGATGTCATCTTCGCCCTGGCTTCGTCCTGGGAGGAGGGCGATCCCCCCCCCCCTTTGCCTGCCAGCCGCCGACCTGCGCGGCCCCCGAGCGCTGCGGAGGCCCGCCGCCCCCCCCTGCTCCCCTCTGCGTGCCCCTGCCCGCGCCTCCTCTCCCGGCCTGGGTCGCCGGCTCCCCCCGAGGAGCCGAGGAGGCGAGGCGAGGAGGAGGAGGAGGAGGAGGAGGAGGAGGAGGAGGAGGAGGAGGAGGATAGCGAGGAGGAGGAGAAGGAGAAAGAGGAGAAGGGTAGCGAGGAGGAGGAGGAGGAGGAGGAGGAGGAGGACTCGAGGAGGACTCGAGGAGGAGGAGGAGGAGGAGGAGGAGGAGGAGGATAGCGAAGAGGAGAGCGAGGAGGCGAGGCGGCTACCCTGGCCTCGTTCTCGCCTTTGGGGGGCCTCATGGGCGGCCCTCGTCGCCACCGCTGGATTCGCCTCGGAAATCTGGTCAGAACGCACCCGGGAGAGGTCCCAGGAGTAGCGGGATCGGTCAGGGTCGCCAGCTGCCCCCGAGGAACCGAGGAGAGGGACAAACAATGACATGAGCATAAAGTTCGGAGGGCCGCGCGTATTCCTCGGATCGGCGCTGAAGCCCCCTGGCGGCGCCTCCGGCGCCGCCTGTTGCGCGCGTTCCGCGCGCTGGGGAGAGGGGATTCCGGCGCCGATCCAAGGAATCCGCGCGGACCTCCGAGTTTTGATGTTTCTGTCATTGTTCGTCCCCCTACCGAGCGTAAGCGAGGAGGCCCAGACCTTCAACGCATGGAGAAAGACCAGTGGGAGGTACTTGGGCGTGTTCGGCCGAGGGGGGCCATCTCCGGGCTCCCAGGCTGTCCAGAAAACGGCGCTGGACGAAACACCGGCCCTGGGGAAAGGGTCGGGACTTCCGGGGGCCCTGCATTGACAAAGTTATTCCGACCGATGATCTTCCAAATTGATACGGAAGTAATCCTCATCGTCGTCCTTGTGATTACGCAGGATCTTTCCCTGTCTGGTATCTGTTAATCCTCGCCAACGCTTACAAGCTTGATTGAGGCTGGCCGCCTAGGATTACAAATACCGCCTCGAGACTTCCTCGGGATTCAAGCTCCCTCGGGATTCAAGCTCGGGACTTCCTCGAGGACTCGAGGAGGAGGAGGAGGAGGAGGAGGAGGAGGAGGATAGCGAAGAGGAGAGCGAGGAGGCGAGGCGGCTACCCTGGCCTCGTTCTCGCCTTTGGGGGGCCTCATGGGCGGCCCTCGTCGCCACCGCTGGATTCGCCTCGGAAATCTGGTCAGAACGCACCCGGGAGAGGTCCCAGGAGTAGCGGGATCGGTCAGGGTCGCCAGCTGCCCCCGAGGAACCGAGGAGAGGGACAAACAATGACATGAGCATAAAGTTCGGAGGGCCGCGCGTATTCCTCGGATCGGCGCTGAAGCCCCCTGGCGGCGCCTCCGGCGCCGCCTGTTGCGCGCGTTCCGCGCGCTGGGGAGAGGGGATTCCGGCGCCGATCCAAGGAATCCGCGCGGACCTCCGAGTTTTGATGTTTCTGTCATTGTTCGTCCCCCTACCGAGCGTAAGCGAGGAGGCCCAGACCTTCAACGCATGGAGAAAGACCAGTGGGAGGTACTTGGGCGTGTTCGGCCGAGGGGGGCCATCTCCGGGCTCCCAGGCTGTCCAGAAAACGGCGCTGGACGAAACACCGGCCCTGGGGAAAGGGTCGGGACTTCCGGGGGCCCTGCATTGACAAAGTTATTCCGACCGATGATCTTCCAAATTGATACGGAAGTAATCCTCATCGTCGTCCTTGTGATTACGCAGGATCTTTCCCTGTCTGGTATCTGTTAATCCTCGCCAACGCTTACAAGCTTGATTGAGGCTGGCCGCCTAGGATTACAAATACCGCCTCGAGACTTCCTCGGGATTCAAGCTCCCAGGTGTTACCAAACCAGTGTTGTCCCACATCCTAAATAGGGTGATTGTTTTATCAGGTCACCACTGCGCAGGAATCTCAGGAGGAACTCTCCCCACGTCATCGTCATCATCATCATCATCATCATCATCATCATCATCATCACCATCATCATCATCATCATCATCATCATCATCATCATCATCACCATTAGCATAAGCATCATAATCAGCATCATTGTTATCAGCATCATTATCCTTATCATCATTATCACCATCATCACCGTCATCACCATCAACAACAACATTAACATTAATCGCAGCACCAACAACATCAACATCAGCATCAACAACAAAAGGATCATCATCACTGTCGTCATCATCATCATCATCCTCATCATCACCAGCATCATCAGCAGCAGCACCATCCTCATCATCAACATCAGCATCACCGCACGCACACACACATTGACACACTGACACACTCGTTCAATCACTCGCTCTCGAGCGGGAGCTTCGAATTCCGCCCCACGCGAAACCGTAGCTATTTTGGCTCAAGCCGTGGCCCCTCGGACAGCCGCCGCGGCCGCGCGCCGCCCTGGCGCCCCTATGGCCAGCGCCCGCGCGGAGGCGCAGGATGGCGCCCCGGGCGGCGGGCCGCCGTCGCGCGCGGGCCCGGCGCGGCCTGGGGGCCGCGCGCTTCTGGCGACGTTGGGCGCCAACGCGGCCCTGCTGGGGCTGTGGCAGCTGGACCGGCGGGGCCATTTCGCCCGGTCGGTTTCGCGGGCGCTGCGGGCGCACGCGCTGTGCAGCCGAGAGCACCTGCGCGCCGGCAGGGTGCACACGCTGCTGACGAGCACGGCGTCGCACCAGTCGGTGGCCCACTTCGGCATCAACTGCTACGGCCTGGTCGTCTTCGGTGGCCTGGCGGCGGAGAAGCTGTCGGATTCGGAGCTGTTCGGCCTTTTCGCCACGTCAGGCGTCGGCGCGTCCCTCTGCCACGCCCTGGGGCACCCACGGAGCGCCGTCCTCGGCGCCAGCGGGGCGCTCATGGGCGTGGTGGCCGCCGACGGCCTTCTCGAGCCCTCGAGGCGCTTCCGGATGCTGCTGCCCGTGCCGGGCCTGGAGCTGACGATGCTGCAGGTGGCTGACCTCGTCGCGGCGGCCAACGCCCTCGGCCTCCTCCTGCTGCGCGCCTGGCTGCCCGCCGTCGCGTGGGCCGCCCACCTGGGCGGCACGGCCGCTGGCCTCGGCGCCGCCTGCGCCGCCCGTTGGCTCGGGGACATCCGAGGCGGGAATTTCTGCATGCCCACCGCCTGGGGGATCAATTTCCGGGGGCCTCGCAGGCGGTGGGTGTGGACATGTTCGGGCCCCCGGGGGCCTCGCATATATCCATAGCCACCGCCCGCTGGGGCACCAGGATGTCGTCGGTTCCCGGGCGGCGGATATGGATACACCCCCGCCTCGCAGGACAGGCGCTTCGCCGGCCCGCTGGAGGCTCACGCAGAGTTCTGCCACGCGGACTGGGTGCGCACGGCGGACAGCCTGGACGCCGGGCTCGACGAGCTCGCGTCGAGGCTGGCGCGGCTGCGGGGGCGGTGACCCGTGCCGGGCGCGTGAGGTGGCCCGGGGGCGCTCGCGGCGGAGCGCCCGGTCCTGCCGAGCGAAGCCCCGCGCGCACCTCGTGCAGCTACTGGAGCGCCAGCTGCCCATACAATCCTCCTCCTCCTCCTCCTCCTTCCTCCTCCTTCCTCTCCTCCTCCTCCTCCTCCTCCTCCTTCCTCCTCCTCCTCCTCCTCCTCCTCCTCCTTCGCTCGGCAGGACCGGGCGCTCGCCGCGGAGCGCCCGGTCCTGCCGAGCGAAGTCCCGCGCGCACCTCGTGCTGCTACTGGAGCGCCAGCGGCCCAGATCTCCGACGGTGCGGCTCTGTTCGGCCGACGTTCATCTCGGAGGGGGGCGGAGGTCGACGAGCACTGTGAATATTTCATAACTCCGTGGACCAATGGGGGTGCGCCTTCGGGATATCCCCGAAGGGGTGCCTGCTCCAGCGTCTGTTCTGTGTCATTCCAGCTTCTGGCTTGGCCAGGACGCTTGTGTGCTTCTGTGTGCCAGATCGCCTCATGGCCTTGGCGGCCATATTGACCTTTGGTGCGCAGCTTCCGGGGGGGGGGCGGTGGCATGTGTGAATTGGGTGCAACCATGTATTGGTGGCCACACGAATGCGTTGAAGCCGTTCGAGGGGCTCCAAGTGTGTTTGTGTGTGACTCTCGCGCATTCTCATGACCAAGATCGGGGTACAAAACCCGCGGAGGCGAGAACAGCTCTTGGTCTGCCACACAAGCGTTCCACTATTGCGAAGGCCTTACGGCCGGTGCCGCCGACCCTGAAGACGGCGAGGACGAGGACGACGAGGATGTTGAGGAGCACTTGGCGGAGGACGCTAGGGAGCAGGAGTGGCGAGGAGGAGGATGAGGAGGAGGAGGAGGAGGAGGAGGAGGAGGTGCGAGGGGGGAGGAGGACGAGGAGGGGGGCCAGAGGGACGAGGAGGGGAAGACGAGGAGGGGGGGAGAGCAGGGGGGAGAGCGAGGCGAGCAGGGACGTATTTGCAGGAGAAGGATGGCTGACAAGGAGGAGGAGGAGGAGGAGGAGGAGCAGCGGTGGGTAGTGCGTGGCGAGCATGAGCAGCAGGAGACGGATGAGGAAAGTAAAGACGAGGATGTTGATGATGATGGCGACGACGCGGATGATGTCGGTGATGATGACGATGCTGATGTCGTTGAGGGAGGGGGGGGGTAAAGCCGGCGGCAGGAGAAGTCGGAGGAAGAGTAGGAAGGTGAGGATGATGGTAATAAGGGGGAAGAGGAAGGGGATGAAGAGGAGGAGCCCGAGGCCGAGGAGGAGCGGGAGTAGGAGGCGGAGGAGGAGGAGGGCGAGAATGGGGAGGCTCACGATGTTGAGGAAAACAAGGGTGAGGGTGCAAACATACTCTTGTCCGGGGTGGTTCCGCGGAAAGACTGATGGGGGACATGGACGACGTGATGACGACGACGACGACGACGACCACGACGACGACGACGACGACGATGACGACTACGACGCTCACGACGACGATGGACGACCAGCTGTTTTTGGGGCAGCGCGTCCGTGGCCGAAAGAGGAAAAGGAGGGTCAGGAGAGGGAGAGAAACGGGAGTGGCGGACGTCCCCAGAACCAACATAGGAATCGAGCCCTCGGGGTATCTCCGAACCGTCTTCGTGCTCCCTTGTGTTGTTCCAATGTTGGCTTTCAGGCCACGTTGGGCGTCTTCGAGGTTTCGGGGGTCGTGTGCGTCTGTGGGGTTTCTGTGCCCGTCGTGGGGTCATCTTGGAGTTCCCGCCGAAACGGCGAAATCAAGCACATCCGAACACCCGTCGAAAACCGCCGAAGAACCCATAATTGTTGTTTTGCGTTCCTGGGAGATCAGTTGGATTTTTTAGGCCGCCTTGGAGTGTTTTAAGTGTTTCTACCTAGGGCATGTGTGGGCTGTCTTGGAGGCCAATTTGGAACATCTCTGGCGAATTTCGGGCACTTTGCACTGCTTACTGACATGGGGTGTCTCCAGCCCATCCAGAAACGATGTCCAGGCGAGTTGGGACAGTCAGGGAAGTGTAGGAGCAAGGAAGGGGCAGCCGTTATCTGTCGACCGAGGAGGAGGCTGGAGCAGGAAATGGAGGAGGAGGGATGATGAGAATGGAGAGGCAGATGAGAAGGAGGAGGAGGAGGATGGCGAGCAGAAGGCGAGAAGCTTTTTGATTGCCTCTCGGAGTCTCTTGGGACGTCTCTTGGTGGCTTCCTTGGAGGCCTCTTTGGGCGTGCCTGGGAACTCCCCGGAGTCGGGATTTGATTTGGAAGTTATTCTTGGGGCCTCTTGGGTGTGAATGTGTTTTCATGTGTTTTCTGGGAAGGTATTTGGGACCGCTCGTCGCGTATCCCCACCAGCCCATCCAGAAACGATGTCCAGGGGAATTGGGACAATCAGGGAAGTGTTGGAGCAAGGAAGGGGCAGCCGTTATCTTCCGACTAAGGAAGAGGATGAAGCAGGAAATGGAAGAGGAGGGATAATGAGAAGGAAGAGGCAGATGAGAAGGAGGAGGAGGAGGAGGAGGAGGAGGAGGAGGAGGCGGGCGAGCAGAAGGCGAGAAGATTTTGGATTGCCTCTCGGAGTCTCTTGGGATGTCTCCTGGTGGCTTCCTTGGAGGCCTCTTTGGGCGTACCCGTGTTTCTTTCGGAGTCGGGATTTTTTGTTTGAAGTCGTCTTGGGGGCCCCTGGGTGTGGGTGTTTTCTGGGAAGGTCTTGGGGGCCGCTTGGGAGGCTGGTGGGAGCCTCTTGAGGCTACCTCGGGGGCTCTTGGATGCTTCTTGGGCCTTCTTGGAGTGCTTCTGAGGGGCCTCTGGGGGCTTCCCGAGAGCATCTGAGGCCGAGGGCTCGAAATGTTCGTTCGGGTCCCCCGTATGGGCTCCTCCTTGGAGCCGTCTTGGGGGCCTCTTCGGTTGTCTTGGAGGCCTCTTGGTCGGTCTTGGGGCCCTCGTGGGTCGTTTTGGAACTCTCTTGGAGGCCTCTTGGGCCATCTTGGGGCGGTCTTAGCCGGTCTTGGATCGTCGGGAAGGTGACAAGGTAACAACGCCGAAATCTTTGCAAAAGGTACGGGAAATCGATGATGTTTGCCCCTGGAGGCCGTTTTGGAAGTGATCTTGGAGGCTTCTTGGGGCGGTGTGGAAACCTTCTGTGCCGTCTGGAGCTTGCTTTGGCGACTTGCACCGATACGTCATCGATATGGAAGCCTCGAAGATCGTCTTGGGGACATCCTGGGGCACTTTTGCCGCGTCCTGCGGCTTTTCTTGGCGCCAAACCGCCCGAGGATCCGCCCCCGGACCCCCCCAGGACCCCCCCCCGGGACCCCACCAAAGGGAAGGGGCTTTCCTTCGACTCAACTGCACCGTTGCTGAGACTCGACAGCCTCTTCCACACGCCGACAGGGTCGGCGGATTTGAAGGGCGTTCTGTCCCCCCGCCCAAGCTCAGGGAGACACCAAGGCGACTGCGAGGCTACCTGACCGCGCTCCCCCTCCTTCCTCCTCCTCCTCCTCCTCCTCCTCCTCCTCCTCCTCCGCCTCCTCTCCTCCTCCTCCTCCTCCTCCTCCTCCCTCCCTCCTCCCTCCTCCCTCCTCCCTCCTCCCGTCCTCCCTCCTCCTCCTCCTCCTCCCTTCCTCCCTCCTCCCTCCTCCTCCTCCCCTCCTCCCCCTCCCTCCCGCCCTCCTCCCTCCTCCTCCTCCTCCTCCTCCTCCTCCTCCTCCTCCTCCTCCTCCTCCTCCTCCTCTTCCTCCTCCGACCCTCCTCCTCACCTCCTCCCTCCTCGTCCTCCTCCTCCTCTCCTCCTCCTCCTCCTCCTCCTCCTCCTACTCCTACTCCTACTCCTACTCCTATCCTTATTCCTTATTGGAATATACTCCTACTCCCCCCTCAGGCCGGCCATTAGGGGCCGCACCCGGGGGGTCCCATCCTAACCTGTAAAAAACAATATAAAATCAACATGTTTCTTATTTTTTCCTCTCGACATGGACGTCCTGTCGTCCACGGCGATAATCCATTGCAAAAAATACCACAAAGAGCACACGCGCGCGTTCATGTCAGAATCCTACCGAACACTGTGTGTTTGCAAGCATTTCAACATAAAAACATCAAAAACCCAATGCTTTTTTCACAAAAATTGTACAAATTTCCCGCCCGGGCTCTCTTGCTGAAATCATAGGAAAACCATAGGAATCTTAAGAATTCTGTCAAATCCAGCGATTTCGCGTCATCGCGCGGTGCACTCGCGATGCTCTGTCATGCACCCAGGCCGCGAATCCTGTGCAAAAAAATACCACAAAGAGCACACTCGCGCGTTCATGTCAGAATCCTACCGAACGCCGTGTGTTTGCAAGCATTTCAACATAAAAACATCAAAAACCAAATGCTTTTTCACAAAAATGCTTTGGGGTGTCCTGTCAGACCGTCGGGCTTCCTCCGGCCACCTCTGGATCCTGCGGTGTACCGGGCCATTCTCGACTCGTCTGGCAATGCGTGCGCGGCATTCAACACGCGCTCGCCAGTTCCCGTCGGCAACCGCCATCGCGGCCGCATCAGCTGTACCAAACCGGCTGGCCGGTGGGACTTCGGCCCCCAGTTGTGCCAGCTTTGCTTCTTATGTTGTGGGAGGGCGGGCGGGACTGGGCATGCCATGCTTGACTCGCTCGAGCTGGCTAGCTTGACTCCTACTCCTACTCCTACTCCTACTC